TCCCAAACGGCATAAACACTTTTAATCGCCACGGTGTCCTCGTATCACTAACTACCCTAAAAACCAAGTCAGAGCCACGTACCTTAATGAGCATGAACTTGTGCATGGGCTCGTACCACTGCAGCAGCATCACACTGGACTCCAGAGCACAACACAGGAACGCACCTCGCTGCAGATTATCTGCTACAAAGACAACAGAGAGCACACCTTCAGCTTCTTTAACTGTGTTTAAACCCGCTGCCAGCATCCTGCTAACATCTGACCATCTGCCCGAGTCTGAACCTCTCCGTGTTCGTTCTCACCTACTGTGCAGGTCTTGCAGCCTTTGGTGTCGGGGATTTTACTCGTCACCGACATTTTTCTAAAAACACAACAGATGATATGGTTTCAAACTGAGCAGAGTATTTAATCAAAGTGAAACGCGATGGGAGAGTGTGGCGTTACCTCGGTAGCAGCCTGTGGGTCGGTAGCGGCACCAGCCTCTCTTTTCGAGCGTGTTCGTACAACTCCTTCAACATGTGGGAGTGGAGCTGCGACGATTTACCTGCAAACAGAGTCGGACGCGGCGTGAAAGTTAATTCTATTCAACAAACGGGTTTTCCTGAGAGTTTCAGAGGATCACGGCTGTGATGCAGCAGCTGAGCTTTAAATACATGAAATATGACGTAAAATATCATTAAACACTCTGTAAAAGATTTACATTTGAAAGATGCAGATTTTCTTCCTTTTTTTTATCCATTCATTTTCTGTTGCTGTTTATGTTTTCTGACCATATTTTGCATAATTTTCCGACTGTTTCCTGTTTGTTTTCCTCACGTTTCCTGTTGCTATTTACTGATGTTTTCAGTCTTTGTTTACTTTAGTTTTCTGTCATTCTCAGTCACTAGTTTCTGCTGTTTTCTGCCATTTCTAGTTGTTTTATGTGCTTGTAGACTTCCACGCAAAAAAATGTTGAACCTTCAGGTTACAATCATGATTTTCTGCATACAGATGACAGGATAATTGATTACCTCCATTAGATTTTCAAACTTGCTGCTTTTCTTTCTGTTTGCTCTTTACTGCCTTTCGAGCTTCAGGACATTCAGGAGGCTCAACATACTCAGGGAAAGATTTTAATACGTTTTATTTTGTTCTTTTACTTGCAGTTTATTGCTTTTTGCATCTCAGAGGGTTTGCACTGAGTCACTAATGTCAAAATGCGCCTTGTCATGCTTTCATTTATCCATTAATAAAAATCTTTGCACACTCATGAAAACGATGAGTTAAAAACTCTGATTCTGACTCAGACCGGTGACGTTCAGCTACATTAATGAAAGTATGTTTGCACTGGATTTAAAGCAGCTCCAGTCTGTGGGCGGATCACAGCCGACGAGGCAAACAGAGAGTGTGTTGGAATGAGTTAAAGCACTGAGACTTCCATAATTTGTTTTTAATTTAGTCGAGGTGGCGAAGTCAGTCAGCAAATGAAGCAAAAAAAACCCCATAATTAAACCCGTCTGCTGCTCCATCAGCATCTCCTCAGTTTGTTCTTAAAAGAAGGAAACCAGCTGAACGCCGCTTATTTATCGCTTCTAATTTACCTGAAACGGACATGAGGACGTTATTAATGGTGTAGACCCAGGTGCACTTCCCCGGATACAACTGGAAGACAAAGAGGAGACAGTCGTTAATTTTTTGGCCTTTATTGGATAATGCAGTGAGAGAGAGACAGGAAAGTGGGGGAGAAGAATCGGGAGAAGGACATGTGGGGGGCCATGAGCGGGATTCGAACTCATGACCTCCACATTGGGACTGTAGCCCTACACATAGGACACCAGCTCAACCAGGTGAGCTACAGCGGCGCCCCAGACATTCGTTAATTTACTGCTTTCATTCACTGCTTTTTTTTTGTTGTTTTTTAATTATTACTCTTCTAGTGTCTCATTTAAACACTTTCTGGACCCCAAAAAAATGGTTTAAAAGGCAAAAAGAAATCACAGAAACGAGCATTTATCAGCCAGAAACTGATAAAAAGTCAACAGAATCATCGAATTTAAATGTGTCGCATTCATCAAAATCACTTTCTGCTGCACGTCTCATTTAAAAATTCACCCAAAATAAATGGTAAAAAGATTCTGTAAAAAGCAGAGAGGAGACGAGTGTGGAAACTCATTTAAATTAGTAAAATATCTCAAATATGTGGAGCCATGATTGTTTTTGTTTTTTTTACCTGCGGAAAATTGTAAAAAAAATGTTTGACACGATTAAAAAATATTTGTAATAATTGAAGGAATTCCTTTTTTGTTTTTCTTTTTTGATGATATTTGGTGTTACAGCTGTTCTGAGTTTTGTTTTGTCTCCACTGCGGTGCAGGACTTCCTATCGCAGTGACAAATGAGGCCACAGTGACAGGAGCAGGACTCACTGTGGCTTCTGAAGGAGCCTTTTTTGATCAAGTGTGACTCATTCAGTTCAGTGTTTTGCTCTGGGATTTGCATCACAACAACCTGAGGAGCAACAAAATTGGCCGAAGCAGCATCGCCAGCTGAGCCGGAGCTGTTTTCTGGGTTATTTTGGAGCTCGGTGACGTATTTATCTGCAGTGAATCAGATTTTAAAAAAAGAAAACAAACAAAGAAACCCACCAGCTCCATGGTGGCCTCGGAGCCGTGGAGGTTCAGGATGTAGATGCCTTCTTCTGCTCCCAGGATCAGGTGCTGGTCTGAGGGGAGGAAGACAACAGAGCGGCCGGTCAGAAAGACAAGACAGAAAAGATGAGGAGTCGCTGCGTTTTTATGTCTGAGGTCCAACCTTTGGTGGAGGGGTTCTCCCAGGTCGCCGAGCAGTTTATTTTAAGAGGACAGCCGTGGAAGATCTTTTTAAAGTAGACCTGGAGACAGAAGGAGAGAGGAGGGGCTTTGAATTATTCACGCTGTCCTCTCTGCAGCAGGTCGGTGACGGGGCTTCCAGACGAAGCAGAACAACCGTTAAACAGAACACCTGCACAACCGGTTTCACAGTGAAGGTCAGCGAGGTTTTAGCGGTGGAGGGAATGTGCACATGGGCCACACAAACGACAAAGATCTGATCACGTCGTAATGTGTGCAGAATAAACATGTATGAGTCTGAAGTTCCACGCTTTCTATTCCTCGTCTCATTTCATTCATTATTAAGCAGATATACTCAGAAGAAGAAAGAAAGCAGGATATAAAAATAAACATAATATTACCGTAAATTCTAGACTATAAGTCACTACTGTTTTCACACCCTTCAACGCTGCGGCTTAAACGATGATGCAGCTAATTTAAGGATTTCTACGAATTTGCCTCGAGACCAAAGTGACGTTGAGAGTGAAAGACAGACTGAGGAAGTGACGAAGTGATTCTGAGGCTGTTCAGCTCTGACACTGAAGCCTTTAGTGGTTTTAGTGCAGGAGGAAGATGAAGATAGCGATCAATGACTTTTCCTGGTAGGATGCTGGAGCTTTTATTTTGTTAACCAGCTGTGTTACAGTATTTGTGTATGTTACCGGTACGTATTTAAAAAATCTTACTGTGTTAGTATCTCATGTTCCAATGTGGACACCTGCAGCTTACAGACAAGTGCAGCCTGTATATGTGCACAACTTGTTTTCTTTTTAAAGTTAGTGGGCGTGGCTCATATTCAGGTGGCTCTATAGTCTGGAAATTACGGTATTATGTTACAATAAAGGCTGCAAGGTGGCGCAGTTGGTAGCACTGTTGCCTCGCAGCAAGAAGGTCGCCGGTTCACGTCCCGGTGGGGGCACCGGGATCTTTCTGTGTGGAGTCTCCATGTTCTCCCCGTGCAGTGTGGGTTCTCTCCGGGTTCTCCAGCTTCCTCCCACACAGTCCAAAAAGATGTTGAGGTTAATTGGTGATTCTAAATTGTCCGTAGGTGTGAATGTGAGTGTGCTTGGTTGTCTGTCTCTAAGTGTGGCCCTGTGATAGACCGGTTACCTGTCCAGGTGAACCTGCCTTCACCCTGAGTCAGACCCTAGTGAGGATGAAGCGGTGTATATATGATGGATGGATGTTACAATAAACACTGAGGCGGCTGGATTTAGACGGTTACTAGTCTGAAAACGTCTTGATCTCAGGGAGGAGAAACTCACGGGAGGTTTCTTGGTGACGGGGCTGAGGCACTCAACAGGATCCTGAGAACAGAAAAGAAACATGTGAAGCAGGAGAGTGTTTCCTCCACGACCTTCAGGTGAAGAGTCGCGTTACACCCGAATGTCTCGAGGTCGCTTGTTCTGATTCTGACACTGTTCATACGGTGATGTTTCTGCTACTAAATGGACAGATGAGGTGCAGCTCGTCTACCTTCGATGGGGGCCGCCGTCTGCGGATGCCTTTAGGAGGGAGCTCAGGAGGATGGAGGTGTTCTTGGTGGTCATTCAGATGGACAGGAAAGGATGGAGGGTCTGAATCACACAAAAACACACCCAGACACACAATGAGAACACAGTGGGGTGACTTTCTGCACCGCACTCATACACAAAAAGTGTAATTAAGACTCATTTTTTTGGCCACCAAAGTGTAGAATCTGATAAAATGTGAATTATATGAAGTCTCCTGTTCATGAGTTACGGTGATAAACAACAACCATATTTAGAACATGAATGCGTTGAATTATGGCCAGAAACGTGTTGTGTCGGGCATCCGGTGTTCAGTCGGCTGCAGGTGAAGGCGTGGCAGCTCACCTGAGTGTCTGGAGTGTCGTGGATGAAGCGTCGGTCGGGTGTGGGTCCCGCTGGAGGTCCTGATGAGGGGGGTGGGGGCGCACAGAGAGCTGGGCTTCCTGGTTCGATCCTCCTCCGACGCCACGCTCTCCTCTGAGCTGGTCCTCGCTTTAGGCTGCAGAAACACACCAAAGAGCGTGTTTGGTTAAAAGATGCATCGTGAGTGTATTCTGCATTTACATTTGTAATTAGTGAGAGAGCTGAAGGAGGTCCAATAGGATTTTATGCTCAGTCATTGGTGCTAAATCAAGTGCATGAAGAAAAGTATTCACCCTGCTTGGATGTTTTCTCCTTTAACTGCCTTTCAGCACTGAATTATGGTTTATTTATTTTGGCCTTTGTTGACAAGAATTTACAGAAAAAGACACCAAAATTACTGCTGCATTAATTTTACTCTTTACTTTAACAAGCCTTCCAGGCCGCTGCTGAGAAGCATCTAATCGTCATGATGCTGCCACCACCGTGCTTCACATCATGATTGTCTGTTGTTTTTGCCAAAGTAATAATGTCATTTTTAAACTTTTTTTTTTTTAATGCCAAGACTTCCAGGCTTCCTTCCTCTCCTGCATGGTAATTGTTTCCCTTTTGTGTGGCATAAAAACGCATAAAACTAAAAAGTAAACTACCATGAAATCCTTATATTAAGACTTAATGAACAAAAACAATTTAACGATAATGTTTTCAGTGGCGACAGGCTTTAACACTGCAACAACCACACATGTAAATGATATATTTATGTGTTCAGTGAAGTGTTTTTGTGTCCAGTGAATATTCACCTTTGGAGGAAGCGGAGGCGGCGTGTCGTCATGCGGCATTATGAGTCTGTTGGCAGAGAGAGTGTTGCATCAGCCTGCTGTGTTAACGATGAACAGATGTTCATACAGATGTGAGTTTGTTCAGCTTACCCTGTGGCCTGCATTGTCGGGCTGCAAGCCGGAAAAGAAAGAAACGTCAGTGAAATCTACTGAAGTGACCCAACAATCAACTGATACAGAGAGAAAAATACAAGAAAACAACAGCTGCTCTCCTGTGATTGAACAAAACATCACTACAAGCTGCAGCGTTGGTAAATCGGTGCTTTCTTACATGTCCACGTCATCGTAGTCGTCGTCGTCCGAGTTTGAGTCCTCCTCCCTGACAGACAAACAGGAAACAAGGTTTTAGCATTTTAATGGTTGTTTGTAATGTGGCTCCGTGTCTGCGATCGACCGGCGACCCGGTTACCTCGCTGTACTGCTGCCGATCCATCCCGTCGACGGTCGTAACTGGAAGACACAAAACAAAAGTAGTGACGCTGGTGAAGGAGTCGGTCAAACGGAGGTGAAGGAGAAGCTGAGGGTCCACAGCAGGGAGGTCGTTTTGTTGACTGGACGATGAATACGAGATCAAAACCATGTGAGAGAAGACGACAACTGTTGCCTCCCACAGAAAACAAACACAAAGTCGACCTCTGATGAGTCCTGCAGTGTTTGTGTTTATTATTCTGTTGTCTGTCGGCTTTTTACAGACTCAGTGATGTGACAACAGAAACATATTGACTGTGAACAGGAGTAAACATCACAAGCTGAGTCCCCTAAGTGTCCTGCATACAGCGCAGTGTGTAGCCAATGGGGTTTGTGTCTTTGTGTGTTTATTTTGTGGTGATTCCGTGTTTTTAATTTGGTTCTTTTTGTGGCTGTTTTCTGCCCAAACATCTTTTGCACTCATGTAACGCTTTCGGTGGTCGTGTTTTGGCCTCCTTGGGGTACATTTTGCATATTTTGAGGAGATTTTGCATCTTTTTGTGGTCATTTTTTTTGCTTCGTTGGGGTCATTTTGCATATTTTAGGGAGAGTTTGAGCCCTTTTTGGCCATTTGTGTCTTTTTGTGTTCGTTTTGCATCTCTTTGTGGTTATTTTTTTGCCTCTTTGTAGTAATTTTGCATATTTTGGGGAGATTTTGTGCCTTTTTTGGTTATTTTCTGTCTCTTTGTTTTCATTTTGCATCTTTTTGTGGTCATTTTGTGTCTTTTTGTGTTCGTTTTGCATCTTTTTGTGGTTGTTTTTTGCTTCTTTGGGTTATTTTGCATATTTGGGGGAGATTTTGTGCCTTTTTTGGTTATTTTCTGTCTCTTTGTTTTCATTTTGCATCTTTTTGTGGTCATTTTGTGTCCTTTTGTGTTCGTTTTGCATCTTTTGTGGGCATTTTTTTGCTTCTTTGGGATCCTTTTGCATATTTGGGGGAGATTTTGTGCCTTCTTTTGGCCATTTTGTGTCTTTTTGTACTCATTTTGCATCTTTTTGAGGTTATTTGTTGCTTCTTTTGGCGATTTTGTGTCTTGTTGTGGTAACTTCGGCTCAGAAATACTGCAGTTATTGAGAAACTATTCAATATTTTGACTCATTTGATGTTTGTGATATTGCTAAAGCGTGCGCTCACTGCTGCTGCATACTGGATGTACTTATGTGTGCATGTGTGTAAATGTACGTACAGTATGTGTCTATGCATACTACTGAGATACGATACACACACACACACATATGTATAAAACGTGGATCATAAACGTACCGTTACATTCGGTGATTCGGTCTTCCGGGGCCTCTGGGTGTAGATCTGTTCCACTGAGGAGCCGCAAGCACAAAACATTCAACACATTAACATTTCAGTCGTTTTCCACAATGTCGTCTGCAGACAAAAGCAAACGGGAGCAGAGTAAATTAGTTTTTCTTTCAGCGGCAACAGGACTGGCAGCTTAAACGAAGCAGCACGGTGAAGGAAGGGATTCATGAGGGAGACGAACCGCAGGGATACAAACAAAACGTTGTGTTTGTGGGCTTGTAATTAAAAAAAACAGGCTGACGGCGTGTTTTCTTACAGCTTATGTCCGAGTTGGTCCTCTCTGCCCGGTTGTGTTTGTTGATGGACTGGATCCTCCTTAAAGATCCAGGAGCCGCCACCTTAAATCAGAAACAGACCAGCGTGAGAGTCTGCAGCTGCAGATTGTAGAAGAGCGAAGAAGAACCAGATCTGACCTCCATGTCTTCGTCCTCCATCAGGCAGCTCTTCAGCTTCTCAGGGTGTCGATACTTCTCCAGCAGGTCCAGGGTCAGTTCCTGGTTCAGGCACTGCTGGGTCAGAAACATGTGCTGCCAACACAGGAGGAGGAAACGTCAGCACACACACACAGTAAACAACAACAGTTTAATCTACATGTGTCAGAAGTGACAGTCTGATGCAGGAAAGACGGAGCTGCTTGGTTGTCAGGAGCCACTAGGGGGCAGCAGAAAGCTTCCACCCATCATGTAACTTAACACACAGGTAATGTAAAGAATGTATTCATTAATGCTGCTTCAGGGTTGCTCCGTCTAACTCTGGCGCCACCGTGAGGACAGGAGGGGAACAGCAACAGAGCTTTAACCTCATAAAACCAATCACATCTGTTATTTTTACAGTTAATCTTATGGTTTAATTATGATTTTATTTAATTGGACATGAACTTTTTGGTGCTTTTATTATTTTATTAGGTTATTTTTTTATTCATTTATTATTACTTTTTGCTTCTCTGAGTATCCTTAATTTTCTTATCTGTAAAGTACTATTATTATTATTATGATTATTAGAGTATATTTAAAGGCTTTAGTGTTCAAAAACGGAATTGTTCTCATACTACACATTGCTGCAGTACTATAATATTATTAGCAGTAGCAGTAGAAGTATATTTACATGCTTTAATGTACAAAAACACAGCATTGCTCTCATACTGTACATGGTTGCAGTGCTAAATAAATAAAGTTATTATTATTATTATTATTATTATTACAGTGAAGCAGTGACGCTCCAACGATTATTCTAAATCATTAGTTTCAGGATCTTGTAAATGCTGCAGCTGAAAATTAAAATATGTGGCGGATGTTAAAAACTGCACCAACAGATACTAAAATACATTTTAAAAAATCACTATTAGTGTGTTTTTCGTGCATCATCTACGATCGTATTTCCTCTGTCTAGCTAGCAGCTCTTGTTCTCGGTGTGAGGCGGAGGCAGTCCGTCGGTACTGACCGAGAGCATCTTGGAGGCGCCGGGTCTCTTCTTCGGGTTCCTCACCAGCATCGCCTTCACAAAGTTATAAAACATGGACGACCTGCGGACAGAAGCGTGACGGCAGCGTTAGGAAAACAACTTGGAGCACATTTAATGAACGAGCACACAGACTTCCTGCTCAGGATCAACACGTTAAACATGAACTACGTGAACTTCTGGACGGCTGATAAAACTCTGCTGCTTTTTAAAGACGTCTTATCTGCTTATTAATCAGGTTTTCTCGTTTACGTCGGTTTTCCACTGAGGAGAAAATCAAGTTTCACTAAACATTACATACAGATGTTTGAATCTGACCTTTTTTGACAAGAATCTCTGTAATTTCCTGTTAACTGAACATTTAATACACAATAAAATCCTGTTTTAGTTCAGTTAATAAAACCTCACTGATCAAAATTAGATAAAAACTTGATTTAGATATTTTTATTCTCACGTCTTCGTATCTGTTGCTGCTGATCTTCCTTCTAAGACCTCTTTAGGGGACACAAACAATCCCTTTTGTGCAGGAAAAACCCGGAATACAGATTAAACTACTTTAGTTTATTCATCTGACGAGTCAAAGCTTTTAATTTGTCTCCATTTTAAGACATTTAATACGTTAAGAAGACGTCACTTCAAGGCTAAAATTATGCAGAACATTGAGTCTGGAACGAAATCTCTGCTTTTTCCTGTTATTTGAACATTTAATACACAAAAAAATCTCGTTATACGTCAGGAAATAAAACCTCACTGATCAAAACCAGTTTAAAAAAATGTATTTTACTATTTTTATTCTCACTTGTTCCTATTTGCTGCTGCTGGTCTTCCTTCTAAAACCTCTTTAGGGGACACTAACGATCCCTTTTGTGCAGGAAAAACCCCGTTTACAGATTAAACTACTTTCATAAAGTAATGCAATGAATTAGGGATGAACGAGGCATCAATAAAGTTTATCTATAAACAACTTATTTCTCGATTTTAGGATTTAAACATGTGTAAAACACAAAAGGAAAGCATGAGAGCTGCACCTGATCCTGATGAAATGATTAAACACTAGTCGAGCCGTGGTGGGTTTTATTTACCATTTGGATTTGTCCTTCAGCTTCGGAGGCTGGTAGCCGCTCTTGGACATGAGAAACAAGACTCTGCAGGAAACAGAAGCACAGCATTAACAAACATTAGGCGTCGCTTTGTGCTTCATTGAGGACAAACTGGGCGACTGTGGTCTCCACTCTGGACGCGTAGGCGTCGGAAACATCTGATGTTTACTACGCAGGTCGCTGTGGGAGGCGGCGACAGCAGCAGGTCCACGTGTGCGTTCACATGTTCGCTCTGAGGGGAAACATTTGAGGTGAAGCTTCTCGCTGCGTGTTTTTCCAGACATTTAGAAGAAGCTGAGCCGAGCATTTTTTAAACTGTGTGTGAATGTGACCAGATCAGAGTTTGTTGCGAAATCGTTTTATCAGCCTGTGAATGATCGAGACGCTCAAATCTTTCCATCGAATTTTAAAAACAATTTCTTTTCTTTGTTTTTT